TTGCCCTTGATCACTTGTACATGTAAGATTTTAATTCTCACTCACCACATATTCAACAAACTCTCTAACAACTGGATCATGATAGATCAAAACAATAAAATCATCTCATAACAGCCACCAGGAGTTCAAACGATTAATTGGACAATTGATAAGGGCAATTATTCTTATTGGCTTTCATAATAGGCTCAATAGGGCATGATGAATAATATTTGGCAATAAGCAAAATTGCTCAAATAGAACAAAGAACTTATTTATCTCATCCCCTAGTCATACAAATACCATAAAATTAGCTTCAAGGAATCAATTGACCAAGTTCTAGAACTTAAATAGAAGAGTCTCATTATGACACATAAATTGCATACACAGTCTCTAAAATACAAAGCAAAACCTTAGCTATGGTTATTTGCATGAAAAATTTTAAAATTTCTCACTTTTCAAAAATTCTACAAAAATCATCCTTTTTCTCAAAAATTTTAATTCTTTTCCAAAATACCCTTACCCCTACACTTAAATGAAATATTATCCTCGATGTTTAAAAATTATGCACATAAAAGACAAGGGAACTCCCTAAATTTATCTCTTGTTGAAATCTTAATAGGTACAATCTTCACATTCATTCCCACACTTCAAGCCCAATACCTGAAAGCACAATCAAAAATAAGAGCTTCATGATATGATATTTGCCAAAAAAAAAGGTAATACAAAATTCAGCTTAACTAAAATAAAATTGAAGTAGTAACAAAAACAAAAATAAAAGCAAAAATAAAATAAACGAACAAAAATAACAAAATTGTGACTACGACTGGGAGAGAAGCTTGAAATCATTTGCTTGACTTTATACAGTTCAATTGCAATCTTCATCCTACACCCTTTCTATCAATGACTAAGCCATATGAAAATTATGGGATTGAAAAGAGTGCATACAACCAGTACATAGGATAGGCTTTAGCTTTCTCAATCTTTAGAGGGTTGGTAATGTTTTTCAATTTGTTATCCTCCATCATGATTATAGCCTCCTCTATGCCTCAATTCCAAAATTTTCCTTTTTCTCTATCTTAGCATTCTACACTAAATTAAAAATAAAATCACTAGATGAATTATAAATATCAAATTCATCAACTACAACAACTATGAATATCTCATCAAAATCATTTTCAAGAAAAATATGAGAATTATTAATTTCAAAGTTAGAAAGAGGATTTAAAAGGTAGGAATTTCTACAATTGATTGGTTGCATTTGTTTTGATTCTTCAGCATTTTTCTTTTTCTTTTCCTTAGAAACTACAAGATTATTTTCATAGTTCTCTTCATTTGCATTGGTGGTTTTAGCTCCTTTTTCTTACTTTGAATCTGTAGCATTTTCCTTCTTATTTTTTGCTAAATCTATAGGTTTTTGGCAATCGCCTTCTCTTACTCTTTTGAAGCATCATTGTTATGCCATGTTTCTAAATTTACAACTTTACACTCTTGGCTCTTTGCTTTTGGTTGCTAAAACTCCTCTTTATCCACAATTTTAGAATTTGTAGCTATGTTTCTCTCTAATTTTGCATCAACTTGGAGAACCTCTAAATCTTCAACTAAATTCTTGCCCTACTCTTCCTTTATAATTGACGTAATCAGATTCTCTTTCTCTATTTCTTTTCACTTTTGAAACTTCTGAATATGTTGAAGGTTTTGGTGCTACTGAAATTTTTTAGAAAGGCTTGTATTATTGATCCTAACTAAGTCCAGCTGAAATTGATGTTGTTCTTGTTGTTGCTCTAAAACTATTCTAGCAATCTACCTTATTTGTGCTTCCTTGTTTCCGAATCTTGCCTCTCTATCACCAAAATTTACTTTTGTTTTGCTTATGAATTTTGCTAACATATCTTCCAAATATAGATTTTCTTCGGCAAGTAGCTCCTATTCTTGTAATTGTTGGATTTTTTTTTGACTGATATAACTTGACTTTGTGCCACTAATGAACTTTTCTATCATGTTTTCCAAGCATGGCATTTTTTGTGCAAGACTTCTTCCCATGGCTGAAATCCAACTAGTTGTTGCCTCTATGCATTCTAGCTCCATGACGTTGGAACAATTCGTCTCACTAGTATTGTACATGTTGCCATAGGGGGTGTTCTTATTGGAATATTAAAAATAAAGTTAATATTCTCATAGGAGGATGGCTCATAGAAGTTACTAAATTAGCATTCATGACTCTGGGTGATTTTCTCCACAAAATTCATTGGCATATGATGGTATATCTAATGCCAAGCCATCTATCCTCCAATTCATAATTTCCATCTTTCTAGCAAATTTTTGCAAAAGTATTTTCATTGTAAGCTCCTCTTACGCCTCTTGGATCACTTGATTAATGTTAATAATTTTCTTCTATCTTCTCCAACAATTTCCCTTTCTCTATCCTTTGTTATTGACCCCTCTAAATCCTATTGTTTGATAATGTTAATGCTTTTGGTTCTTGTGCACTTTAAAGCTTTGATGTTCCTTGATTTGGCTACATGATTCCCTTGACTCCAATCAACAATTTAGTTGTTGCCATTGTAGCCAATAAAAGCTATTACAATGCCAATGAAATTGTACAAACAGGTGAAAAAATAAAGGTGAAATATTCCCAATTTAACAAGTTAAGTGGAAATGAGATGTATGCGCAAACGATGTTCGACAACGGTGTCAAAAACTTGATGCGGACTCAACTTATCGTAATCAACCAAGTAGTCCATGAGTATTGTTCCCAAGAGAATTGTTTTCAGCTCAAAAGCAATTTCAACTCAACTATTACTATTAATTGAGAAAATTCAAATTCCTTTAAATTTTAAAGATGACCAGATTACAAACTAAAGTTTAAACAAAATCTAAATTTTAATTAAAAAATGATAAGAATAAGCAAAGGTAGCACTATAATTGAGATAGAAAATTCGAGATTTGGGCAGAAATTAGAGGTTAGACTTCACTTCACCAATTTAATGCTTCTCATTATGAATTGATTAACTAAGGTTCTATGTGATGGTAGAATAACACAATCAACTTATATTTGGATTAGATTAACTACCTTTGAAACTAATTAAGTCCAAACATCTTATATCCAAATCAATTCTAAATTTAACAATTTCAAGAGCATCAAGATTGATGAAATCTCTTACAGTTATTAATCTTATCAGATCAACCTAAACTAACCATACAACTCATGCCAAGCATAACTTCCGCACAATATAAATTGCACTATATGTTATATTGACTACATTAATCATTAGGTTATCTCAAATAACAATAAGTGATTGATCAATTCTACAAGTTTAGATTGTCACCAAGTTTGTATTGTCAATCAACTATAGATAGCAGTGGGCTCATTAACACATAATTACACAAAATCCTAATATAGTATCTACTAAAACACTAGATTAGCATAGACAAACAATGTTATGAAAAGCTAGTATTCCACATAATCATTAATCAAAAGCATAATCAATTGGTTTAGTTACATCATCCCTAACATGTAAAATCAATTCATAATGCTACTCAATAAGCTCATCATTGATTCAATAGACACTGTGGGGTTCAACAAATAGAAAAAGGAAACGAAAATAGTAGCAAGAAACAAAGAAGAAGAAGAAGAAGAAGAAAAAGAGTGTCTAATTAGGGATATCCTTTGTACTATTTTAGCCGTCAAACTACAACTCTTGCCAGCATTGATGTTGGCTTCTTCCTCTAATTATTCACACACTCAGTGTAGGATGACTATCAAGGTTGCTCTCTTGGTTACTTAACTTCCATTACATAAATGATTTAGAAGCAAGGTATATGCTTGTAATTAGTAAGGAATTAAGTGAAAAGAATAAAGTGACAGATGCTATATACCCTTACATATATAAGCCTCTAAATATGTACTAAGTAGATTTGTTCTTGGGATAAGAAAACTTTTGATGTTTCTTACCTTATTTTAGAAAGTCAATAATAATGAAGAAAGAAATCATTTTATAGCAAATCAATGTACCTCATCCAAAAATATTGGGAAAAAAGTATATAAAAAATTTAGAAAAATTACCAATAGGGTTGGCTTGGTTAAAATATTAACCCAAAGGGTCACAATAAAAAAATATTTGGAAGGTTTAAAATAAAGTTTTTGCTTAGTTAAGGTGATTAGATTTTCTAGAATATCTTTTCACTTACAAGCGCTATCAATAATTTTACAAGTATACATGTGTTTTTTTACAAAAATACATCTGTAATTTTATAAACATCCATGTGTTTGTTTATAAGAAAATGCGTCTATAATTTTATAATTATACATCTGCATTTTTACAAATTTGCATTTGTATTTTTACACGCATTTATTTGTTTGTTTACAAGTATGCTTATAAAAAACACAAATAAGTGCATGTAAAATTACAAATACATATTTGTAAATAAATAGATGAATGTTTGTAAAATTATATATAAGTGTTTATAAAATTACATAGACATTATTATAAAAATACAGTTGTATTTTTATAAAAATATAGATATATATTCATAAAATTATATGTGGTACTTATAAGTAAAAGAGTATTTTGAAAAATCAAATTACCTTAATTGAGAAAAAATTTTATATTAAACCTTTTGGTTAATATTTTAACCAAGTGGATGTTATTGATAATTTTTCCTAAAAAATTTAAAAGTGAAGCCAACAAGATTATAAATAAATATGGACTACAACATGTATCTACACAACAACTAAATAAAAAAATTACAAAAAAATACATGCTAAATTTGCTTAAGTGTGAAACTTGTCCCTCATTAATGAAAAAAACATAACATAATAATTGAAGTAAAAACAACAAACAAACCAAACATGAGCACCTCTGAAGTGGTTCCATTTAGCTATTCCAAACTCATTTCATTTAGTTAGGTTGGTCCAGTAGGCTTTGGAGCATAAAGTAAACCGGTAATTAATGACAGACAAATTACTAAATTTAAAAAACAAAAACTAACATTTTTAAAATCGATTCTAAGTCATTCCAGAGCCTACCGGGCGAAGGGCTCGCCGCTCAAATTGGACCATTGCGCTCCGCGGGCACTTGTCTTAGCTGGTTAAGTTTCTTTCGAGTTACTTTCACTTCAAAACCCAAAACCCAAAACCCCTGATCCCTCGTTTTTCCGAGAAAATTATGAATTTCTTCGACCCCAGCGACTCTCAACCGCTGCCCAAGCCTCCACACGTCATCCTCCAACAATGCGTCTCTGACCTCCAACGGCACTGCTCCAGCTTCTTCCACCACCACCGGAGCAACCACCTCGCACTCTTCAATGTCCCTCTCTTCCAGCCTAGCCCTTCTTCCTTAAAAACCCATCTTGATAGCACCCTCTCAAATCTCCACCACCATGCCAAACAAGCAGTCGAAGCTGGGTTTTCGAGCTTAGGCTTCGGCTTAGGCTCCGGTTCTTCTAGAAAAAACCCGGCATGGGCTCGAATTGCCCAAAACAACAGCTCTGGTGGACTTGCCATGATAACGGAAGCCATTGAAGAGCGCTTGGCCGGCGTCCCCGTGTACGCCCTCAGCAATTCTTCCCAGGAATTCGTGTTGGTGTCGGGTGTACACACAGGAAAATCTCTTGGGTTGTTTTGTTTCAATGAAGATGATGCTAATGCTCTTCTTCAACAGATGAAATCCATGGACCCCGGAATGCGCGACGGTTCAAAAGTGGTGGCTGTGGCTCTTAACAAGGTAACCCTTTGCAGATTTACTTTTATATTGCGGGACAAGTTGGCCCTTATCTTTCGAGTCATGGTTCATAAGCAATAATCTAAAAGAAAGTGAATCATAACGAGTTGTTATCATTATAGGTTTTTCAACTTAGGCTTGATGGCGTGGCCTTCAGGTTGATACCGGAGTTGTCCCAAATCAAGAATGCAATCAAGGTGAATCACTAATTATTATTATTATTATCTTCATTAACTTTTCATTTCAGTTTTGTAGATTGGGTGCTTAAGTTAAAATGCTTTTGTGAAATTTGATGCGCAAAATATTTTGACCTTTATTGATCATTTCCCTTAAAAGCATTGAATCCCAGTTATAAGACAAGTGGAAAAGATAGTTCTTTACAAGCTTTGCCCCTTAACTGACATAAACAGCCTACAAAACATGTATTTTTGTTGCTCGTCTATGATTTTGGTCTAAGGTAGTGAGAGCTTGTTAGTAGTGAACTGAGAAACTGAAGGAAATTTGTTAGTTTCACAATGGAGGAAATTGGAAATTTCTTGATTTTTGTTATATTTCTTGTTAAAAAATTTGGGAAAAAAATGCTCGAAAATTTATGCAGGAACCATATTAGGGTTTGCTTCACTCTATTGGCCATAGGTTGAGTTGAAAGAATGATTGTATTTGATTTCACACAAGGATCCAATCCTCAAAAGACATGTATACAATTCTTACGTCCATGAAAGAAAAGGAATCAATTCTCCTAAAATCCTATATGAACTCCTAATATCACATAATTTACATAATCTTTATATGTAGAAAAATATATATACATAGAATCTCACACTCCCCCTCAAGTTGGTGCATATATGTCATATGTATCCAGTTTGTTATATATATATATATATATCATCCTTGGAGCTTAGAGAGATTTAGTAAAGATATCGGTTAACTGATCATTGGAATTCACATACGAGGTGATGATTTCTCCGTAATTAATCTTTTCACAGATAAAATGTCAATCAATTTTTATATGCTTGGTTCGCTCATGAAAGATTGGATTGGAGGCAATGTGTAATGCTGCTTGATTATCATAGATAAGCTTCACGGGTCCAATCTCACAAAATTTCAACTCTTAAAGTAGCTATTTTAACCATATAAGTTCGCAAGTAGTAAGAGCTATAGCATGATATTCTGCTTCTGCATTAGATCTTGCAACAACATTTTGCTTTTTGCTTTTCCATGAGATAAGATTGCTTCCGACAAGAACACAATATCCAGAAGTTGATCTTCTATGACTAGGAATTCTGCCTAACCTGTATCTGTATAAGAAATAATGTCTATATGGCCCTTATTTTCATAAATCAACTCTTTTCTAGGAGATCTTTTTATATATCTCAAAATTTAGACTATTGCACTCCAATGACTATTACAAGGAGAGTTAAGGAATTGACTTACAACATTAACAACAAAGGATATGTCTAGTTTTGTTATAATGAGATAATTTAATTTTCCACCAATCTTTGATATCTATCTAGATCTGAATAAGGCTCACCTTGATCTGGTAGAAGTTTAACATTTGGATTCATAGGAGTATCAATTGGTTTACAATCAAGCATCTTAGTCTCTTCTAAAATATTGAGGGCATACTTTCTTTGAGAGATAGAAATACCTAATTTTGATCAAGCTACTTTGATCTCAATAAAATACTGTAAATTTCCCAAATCCTTAGTTCGGAAGTGGAGAAACAAGTGTTGTTTGAGATTTTTAGTACCTTCTTGATCGTTACTTGTAATAACAATGTCATCTATATAGACCACAAGATAGATGTATTGATTAGAGACTGAATATTTATAGAACATAGAATGATCTACTTCACCACGGATCATATTGAATTGTTGAATGACCCAGCTAAATCTTTCAAACCATGCCCGAGGAGATTGTTTAAGGCCATAAAAGGACTTATGCAATCTGCATACAAGATTGGACTCCTCCTGAGCAACAAATCTAGCAAGTTGCTCTATAGGAACCTCTTCTTCCAGGTCACTATGAAGAAAGGCATTCTTAATATCCAACTGATATAGGGGTCATTTCTTAATTGTAGCCATGGAAAGGAAAAGACAGACATACGTCATTTTAGCAATTGGAGAAAAAAGTATCATTATAATCAAGACGGAAAATTTGAGTATAGCCTTTAGCCACAAGGTGGCTTTTCAAGTGGTCCACTTGCCCATTAGGACTCACCTTGATAGTAAAAACCCATCGACAACCAATTGTAGATTTTCCAAGAGGGAGAGGGACTAGAGTCCATGTACAAGTGGAATTTAAGACTGCCATCTCATCAATCATAGCCTGCCGCTATTTTGGATGGGAACGTGCTTCCTGGACAGTTTTGGGAATAGAAATAGAAGATAGAGTAGGTGCAAAGTTATAATGGGATGAAGACAAGCGATGATAGCTTAAAAAATTATAAATAGGATGAGGATTGCATGTAGCATGTGTACTTTTACGAAGAGCGATGGGCTAGTCAGCAGAAGGTTTAGGTGGATCGTGAGTAGGTGGAGACGTTAGAGTAGGAGATGAATCACATGAATCATCAGAATCTAGAGTGAGTACAGCATTTGAAAGCTTAGGTCATGGTCGACGTTTATAGGTGATAAAATGATTATGAGGGGGATGCTCTGGATGGGAAGGAGATACTGGAACAACAAAAAGAGGTGGATTGAGATAAGGGGTTGGTAAGATCTAAGAGATAAGGTCCGACTTAACTAGCGAAGTGAAGTATGGTGGATGTTCAAAGAAGGTGACATCTGCAGAAATTTAATAACGATGTGTGGAAGGAGAAACATAGATATCCTTTTTGGATTCGAGAATAGCCAAGGAAAATGTATTTAATCGCATGGGTAAACAGTTTATTGAGACTTGGAGAAAGATCATGTACAAAGTAAGAAGAGCCACAAACACGAGGAGGAACAGTATAAAGGGGCTCTTTAGGAATTAAGAGAGAATGAGGAATCTGATTATTTAAAATAGAAGATGGCATTCGAAAGTAGCCAACAGTAAGAAATGCATCACCCCCAAAATTTTAAAGGTGTATTAACATGTATCAAAAGGGGTGAGAGCTATTTCAATGATATGACAATGTTTTCCTTCAGCTACGCCATTTTGTTGAGGTGTATGAGGACAACTAGACTGATAAATCATGCCATGAGATGTCATAAAAGAATTGAAAGATGCAAAAAAATATTCTTTTATATTATCACTTTGTAAATTGAGTTTGAATTTCATTGCAAACATTTTAAAAAACAGTAAACAATTATGAGTGATCTTTCATTAAAAATATCCAAGTACACTTTGAAAAATCATCAATAGAAGTAAAAAAATATCTATACCTTAATATAGAGGTGACACAATTGGGACCTCAAACATTAGATGAATAATAGAACTAGAAACTCTGCTTAGTTATTGACCGTACTTGGGAAGTATGGTTGAACATGCTTTCTTAGTTAACATTACTCACATTCTAAGGACTGTAAATAAGAGAGATGAGGAACCATATTTCGTAACATGGTAAGACTTGGATGACCCAAGCAACAGTGGAGAAGATCAAGTGATTCAGTGATGGCACATATGGTTGAAGATGGAGGCTAAAGATAATAGAGTCCATGTGATTTGTATCATACGTCAATCATCCGTCCCATACTTAGGTCTTGTATGAAAAAAGAGTCGGCAGTGAAAGTTATGGAGCAGTTAAGTTTTTATTAATTAATTAGTATTTAGATTAGATTTTTTTTTTTGGGTGTCAATATAACATGGTTTATATATATTAAAATTATGACTTATGAACTTACCGATGAATTATTATGGTGTTTTGATATTTTTATTTTTTGACAGTATTTTGTTTATATTTTAAGTGTGTAATTACGTATGTTTAAGTATTTTATTGATATGTTTCTGAATCATATCCATGATTCAAAATTCAGAAAATGACGAGTCTAGATATGATTCATGATTTGACAACATATGGTTGAGATGATCTTCAAACTTGTTGATCCAGTTTGGAATAACTGAACCTTAGGTAGATTGCAGAACTGAATAGGAAATGATACCTCAGGTCCATTTTTAGTTTGGTTTTGATAAGTTGTTGCTTTTTCTTATTCGCAAAATGGTGTTGTGAAAAAGTCTGAAGGCAATTTACTAAAATTTCACTTTTTAAAAAATTTTGTGAGGGTTGGTCAGGTTGTTCTGGACAGAAAATATTCAAGTTTTGGGACCATTTTTTAAATAATTAGGACCACCCTAGTTCACACTGGATCCTATTCTGAAATTTATTTTTCTAAATAACATGATATCTAATTACCATGCTTTCTTTTAACTAACCTACCATTCTTTTGTAAATTTTTACACCCCTGTTTGATAATGGCTTTTTCCTCTTTGGGTATATGCTTGTTTATGCAGGAGAGAAGAAAAGCTGGTGTTTCGGAAGAGAACTTTCCTGGAGTTCCTGTTTTCCAGGTTTTCTTTATCTAAATAATTCTTTGTTACCATTATTACTTGTGTATAGCATATATAGTTATATGTATGACTATACTTGTGCATCTGTTGTGAAGCTGTATTTATCATTTGAATGGTTACTAAATTTATGCATGGGGCATTTTGTAACATATATTCGTCAGCTGAAAGTATTAAAATAACTTGACTAAGAAAGTGTGCAGATGAATAATTTATGTGGGTAAGGTGGCTTAGCTAAAAGAAGGTGTTCTTCTCTTGTGGGAATCTTTTGGGGAGGAGGGGGTGGACAAGGACATATTGGGGGAAGAGGCAGAATCAAGTGGGGTTGAGCCAGGGCCATGGTCCCCCTTGAAACAAAGTGACCTATTTATTACATAATTGGAAGATTCTTTTGTATTGTACATGGCTTCCCAAAAAATTATTGACATTTCAGAAGTTTGCATTTCTTAGTTTTTATACAATAACTAATTGGCCTTATATTTTCTTTTATTTATTTGAAATATTTTAGGGTTTCTTTATTTTATGTTAAAATGGAACTAAAATGCAAGTAATTTGAAATTTTTTAAAGTCTAGATATCATTGTAAAAAAAAGCGTTTAGATTATTCCAAAAATGGATCAAATGAAAAAAAAAAAAAAAAATCCAAATAGAGACACAAAACCTTTCCTTCCCTGAGGTTATGCCTCTTTTATGAGATATCCCACACC